CCATATAATAATATCCTCCTGTGTTCTGAAATTCGTTACATACGTTTCGATATGTACAAGGCTTATTTTCACTATTGGAATAACTAAGAGGAAACGTGGCTCGAATATGAATAAGAAAGCGCAAAGTTTTATAGCTGTCGATTTTCCCAAGGTTCTTTATAGCTGTGGCCCTTAGAGCTCAAGAAAAAGAGGGGGAAACAAATCAGCCCATCTCGTTTGCAAAGCGGTAAAGTAGGACACTGCGGAGTTTCTAACCGCAAAAGCCTGGCAGCTCTGTAATCAGTTACAGTTTGCTTAACCCACCTTTGGTCAAACCATTTCCTCTAAGATGCATTTCCTTTTCGCATCAAAGGTGCAAGTAGAGCATGAATTTAGCTTTAAAGAGTAAAATGATTGTATATTCAGGTCACATGTATCTAGACTTGCTGGAAACCATAAAGTACCCTCTTATTTTATTTGCTTCTTGCGCGACGTCTGCAATTTTATAAAGGGATATACATAATTTTTTAATGTATCACGAGAGTAAGAGATTTTCAAACAACTTTCATGTTTTCTTCCATGATCATTAACAAATGAAAAACATGGTGATAAACAAGTTCCTACATAATATATTTTATTTTTGCTTTAAAACAATGACAACATATTATATTCTTTTAAGTCGTCTGGATTATAGTGCACTACAATGTTTCAATTCGGGTTGGTACTTGGAATCGTCATCAACTGTCTAAGAATTTTATAAACATACTTATGTAAATGGCTTCCTTGTAGCAAAGTAATTAGTCCAACACGCGCTCATAACTTCGTAACATATCGCCTACATTGATGATTGTCTATCCTATTGCCTTGATATCAAAGACAAGGTATCGACCTCTCTGCATGATTAAAAATAAATGAACTCTATTCTTGCACATAAAGACGCCATTGATCCAAAATGAGTGCATTAACGACTGATTAATGTATGTAATGAATACATTCCGTCTTGTACAATATAACTTCATCCGCCTTTGTATATTTACTTGTTATTTTACTTCTTGTTTTGTACTAGCTTTAGTTTACACATTAGTTTTATAATCACTAGATCATATATAGTCATCGTTACGAGTGTTTGCGAACTACGTCCGATTTGTATGAATTCCGAACCCGAAATGGCGGTCCGAAATGTCACAGGTTTCCGAATTGTCATTTTATCTCTAGGTGTACAAGCTATATTCCGATATAATCGGACTTAGTGCACAAGCGACATCAGAAGTGGGTTAGAGTTTTCTACAATTGTACAGTCTCGGATTCGGAAAGAACACGAATCGGATACAGCGCGCAAATGCGCTTAGTGCTTTTATAAATCGTAATGTGTAATAAATTTACATTTTTATTGTTTTCCCTTAAAACTACTATGGTTTTATTTCTTGTCTGAACATGGTAGAGCACTGTTGTGGTTACCTGAAACGTGGATTAAAATGTGTGGGTAGTAAAACGATGTCCAAATCAAGCCGGGTTTCGAAACTTCACAATATAATTTTAATGCCTCGTATGCCTGATAAAAGCGTCACAATGACAATAAACAAAACTACTAGCTTTTGAACTTAAATCCATAGACTAGACATGTAGTAACAGCCAGCCGTCATCAGTTATAGAGTCTGATATGCTATCGTTACTACAACAGTATTTAACTTAGTTTAACTACCTCTGTGGCCGAACGGTTACCATGCCGGACTGCCATGCAGAGGTCCCAGGTTCGATTCCCGGGCCGGGAGAAATATTTGTATGACCTATATAGAAATATTTGTTTCTCTAGTGAGTTTGGGTGTAATTTGTGGTTGTCTGTATGTGCGTCCATGGTACCCGCGACACAGGGTTTCCCTAGTGCGGGGCTATGTTGAGCGTGTGTGTTATTAAAAAAAAAACGTAAACAATCATTCTATGTCCAAAAACCACATTACCTAAGCTTTCCTTTTTTCAATTTTGAAAAATTTTCAATAATTTTCGTCTGTTTTAATAAATATTAAAAACGAGTTATTCTGTGTCTGCCTAATAGGATAATTTTTTATTTAATATTGATAAAGACTTTGCATTATAGGAATTAAAATATGCCTTATCCAACCCTTTTTCACGAAATATTTTGTACATATCGCATCACACATTCTTGTTTAATTCAACACAATATTAAACTGCATTTTCTGCTATATGTAGGTCACAGTGATACGTTGCGCAGCTTGGAGAGTCTCTTTATCAAACATCAATTGGATGCCATTATTCGGTTGGCTATTGAATTGAGCCGCCTGCAATAGGCTTTGAAAGCTACTCCAATATTTTGACTCAAATATTAATGCTATTATTTTCGTAAATTGGTTTGGGATATACTGTGGCATGTAATTTTGATTCTACTTTGCAATTGATATTAGTAAAGTTTATAGGGTGAATTGCTCCTTCTACATTTTCCATTGATTTTCAATTATTGCAATATATCGCGAAACATTGTGTTAGCTATAAGTCACTTAATTTTTTGCTCTTAGAAAAACAAAACCGTAGCAACAAAAGTCTAATAAACATATTTTTATTAACAAATAAATAATGTGCTCAAAACACTACAGTTTCGCATGGTAAATACGAAACTAAAAAATGTATTTATCTGAAATGCATTAATATTACTACGACCCAAAGCTAACGAAGTCAAGGCATATTTTTACTTTCGAATAGAGCGTATATGTACAAAAGATATGCACACAAAGCCTACTGGAACTAGTGGATATAAATCTCACAGAAGTACACGTACATTACAGGAATATGATACAGCACTAAGGATTTTTATGGAAAAACAAAAGATAATTAAGTCTTACGAACATCAAAAGCATTCATAACATGTAACTACGTGGTTAAATAGATGCTTGACGTTAAGTGCTCGCAAAATTCGTTTACGTTATCATATTAATTACGTATGACAATACTATACATAGGTAATATGTTATTCAATTTATACAACTGAATAACGCAATAAATAAGATCATCATCATCAACCCATTTATACCTCCCACTGCTAGGTACGGGACTCCTCTTAGGCGAGGGTTTAGGCCATTGACTGCCATACTGGCCCAATGCTGGTTGGGGACTTCATACGTTTTCCGAGAGTTGTGAACCTTCTTCGGCGTGCAGGGTTCATTACAATGTTCATATTCATCACCGTAAAGCTATATTAAATTGCAAATCAAATTTCGCACATAATTCCGAGGTCCGCAGAGGTGCGATTCCGAAGCCCGGATTGGAACCCACGACTATTGCTTGAGAGGTAGTAGGTTAAACCATATTAGGCTACCACAGTTTCTTGTAATAAATAAGATAGGTTCTTATAATAATAAATAACCTATGTGCGAAGATATTATGTAAGTACCAATTTCTGTAGCACGCTCTACATTTCTATCTCGAAAATCGCTTTACTTATTATATGTCAATGTTCTGGATATGGTACGAGTATGTATTTATGTGTAAATTCTAAGTCGATAGGCTTGCACGTAAATCTGAAAGCATTTACGGCACCCGAATAAAGAAACAATGTATTTCATCATAAAAGTTTTATCGTAACACGCGAAGGTCGTTTTGCAACTAACTGGTTAATTGACAAATTATACTAAATCATGAAGCATAGAAACATGTAGGTAACTAAACAGTGTATTTAAAATTAATCATAATATTTATGCACACTACACGGCACCTACTTTGGGAACGTTTTTTTTTTTGCTTAATCGCGTACTTATATTTGTTTTTTTTTTCAAACAAACCAACGTTTCGGGCAGGTCCCGCTTTCACTGCTGGCTGTATTTACGGCATTTGTAAACTTAACGTTAACCCGGGTAGGATTACGTAGGTTTCAATTTCATTATACTAATGAGAAAATAGTAGAGCGGAAAATTGAAAAATATTAAGTTGCTTTAGCTAAACTAGTTGAGTAGATATTTATAATAAAAGTATCTGTAAACTCATTAGATTTTTTCCAAACGAGATTTTACATTACATTTGTTTTTAACATATAACCATTATTACCTGTTGTAATCTAGGGAATTCCCTATAGGTTATATTCGACCCAGAATACCCGGACCAACATCAATTTTCTTGAGGTTTTTGAGGTAGCTTTGTGATTAAAGTCTCCCATTTTTATTATAACGTGGTTTGTGATCTATTTCTGCTAGTGATTACTCTACAAACTTTTCTATAGAAATAGGGCAGGCTGAAAATTGTTTTGTTTTAACAAATGTTTGTTGAACTGTTGAATAGTTTGCTGATCTGAGCTCCGCATTTCATCACCTACATATATCATAATACTAATAAAGTAGAATCTATTTCAATAAAACACTGATAAAAATTTTAAATTCGAGATTTTATTTCGAATATATTAGAATTTTAGATTCGATTCCCGGTGGAAATCGAACCCGGAATCTCCTCACTCAATGCCCACATTGCTAATCGTTGGGCGGCTACTGAGGTCATCAAGTGTGTTATTTTATAACTTTCAGTATACCATTTCGTTAAAGATGTTTTGTTGTGAAAAGTAAATGCCTATAACTTCATACATTAATTAAATATCTAAAGTTCATAGTTATGTGCGTAGTTATGTTAGCGTGTGGAAGTTTACTAATACATTTGAATTTATGAGTCATCTGTAGGGATTCAACTCCCCCTGTTCCCGTGTAAATAGGATATCGGGCGCACGAATTCGATACCTATACGATATTTGGTTTAGGAAGCACCAATGTAATTTGTATCACTTTAGCTTAAGTATTCGTACGTTTGAAGTAAAATGAAGCTTAATTAATACGATAATAATTATATATATATATATGTATATAGCGTAATAATGTTGTAAACGTAAAAATTAGATCTCTTATCTTTGACGATATAGTATCTGAAAGTGACTCCTACTTTCAAGTATTTTTTAATATCTTGAAGTGATTAATCTATTTAAATACCGGGTATTATTTACTTATGCTTATATTATGATTATTATTGTCCAGACGCAGTGGATCTCGCAATAGGATGGAGGGTGGCAGCGGTGTGGTGTATCGGGTGGTAGGACGCACGCGTAGCAAAGCTGACTGCGGGCAGCAAACAGAGCGGCAACCAGGACCACGACAAGATACCACGTGGAAGAAGTATACGGACTCGCCTGGAGTAGGCGCTCCACCTTTGGTAAGCCTAATGTACTCTACATTGTAAAATTAGTACACTACATTTTCCTTGATACTTGATATTTTGAAATATTCTTTGGACACCGTAGAGTAGATTTATTATTTGAACCACACTTGAACTGTCACGTAATGTACGTACTTATGCAGATTTTGGCTGTACAATCAGTCTGCAGTAAAATGTACTGCAATGTACGCATAGATAAATTAGAATTCGATTTTATTGAAGTGAAATGTTTAATGGGTAAAATATTTGTTTTCCTCTTCCTCACCTGATGGAAAGAGATGATGAGGTCGACGATGTAGCATGCACTCATATTATAACAATTCAAGAAACATGTATACGGAAATTATTTGACTGTAATTCCGCTGCGCGTATAATTGCTACACACGACTGCACCTATTTTAAAACATTATCACTTATCGGTAGACTCAAAACTAAAGTTAGAGTGCAGAGCAACTAGTGTTCGCCATTTCTTTTTTGTGTTAACTTTTTTTTCGATTATTTCAGAATCAATTGCCCGCACCGCCCAGTCCGTCACATGGACGCAAAGGTGAACGTCGTACAGGACACCACTCGCCACAACATCATAAGAGGGAGAAGCTCACGGCCGCTCAACAGCTTGGCATTGTTCCTCATTCACAGGTTAGATATTATTAGGCGACTTTTATGAGAGCTACGTATTTGGTACATGGGACTTACAGATATTAACGAAATGGGTAGAGCAAGTTGACAATAAGATGTCCTATTATAGTCGCGTTACACCCAAATCTGTTGCAACGCCTACTAGATTTGAAGATATTAATGATTTTTTATTATTTGCAGTACCCGTCATCTAATTCTAGTCAGCACTCTTCTAGAAGTGGGGGTTCTCAGGCGCAGGTAAATTATAAAAAAATATTTAAAACATTGCTTTTTAAATTTTTTATTATTAATTTCTTATTTAAGTAGGAGCCTACTGTTAAAAATTTACTTATATATTTTAGCTACAATCTCCAAGTGGCGGGTCACGTCCTTCAAGTGTCGCAAGCGGTGGGAACGGCAGCAGTTGTTCATCGAGCAAATCAAAAGTTCCACAGAATTTCGGCTACGTGAAGAGACAAAATGGAGTGAACCAACCAGCAACTCAACCAAATGGCCCACCTCAACATGGTCATGGTAGTGAGTTTCTTTATTTTTAACAAAAACGCACAGGAAATGTTTTTACGTGACACTTAATATAAATACTGTGGGAAACTACTGGCACACCTAAATTCATTAGGTACGTAGACATAAATGAAATCATCTGTTAACATTTCCAAAATTTAACCTTTTATGGCTGTTTTAAATGACTTCGTGCAATTTTTATGCTTAAAAATCTTGTAACAAACGTATTGGTTGAAACTGCTCAAAATCCGAAATGTTCCAAAAATTGGAAAAATATAATTTTGAAGGCTCACACTAAGTGTTACATTTAGAAATATGTTTTAAAGTTTTATTTTAGCATGAATTATAAAATAAAACTTTAAAACGAGTTTTAAAATGATTTCACAACAGCGAAAAAAAACCTTTTTATTGTCTCCATCGTTTTCGTCCAGTAACTTCAACTATTACAGGTGTCAACGTCAAATGTGGAAAATTAAAGGAAAAATATTTATTTTTCTGAAAAATATGATTTTTTTCAAAATGGAAATTTTTCCATGACCCAACACTAGCTACGACTACCAGCCACTTCCATCTCTATGACGAATGTCGTTTTAATATCAATGTCACTATCAAACTGTAAATAGCGGCAAATTTGAGTTTTGTATAATTACAAAATGGCTACCGTGAAGATATAACATGGATATAACTAACGATTTCTCGCGAAAAAGATGTCAGAAAATTAAATTATTACCGTCAATTTCTCTAATAACCGTAAAATTATTTCATTATCGCACGAGTCTTCGAAACTCTGATTGCGCGTTGACACCGAGTCGTCTGCCGAAGGCAACGCGGTCTACTCGCCACTTACACCGAGTCGTCTGCTGCCACCCAATCGCTTCGGTCGACTTCGGTCGCAAACTACCTTCGTCATACAACTCACTATTCACACCGGGTAGCTTGCCGCCTTCGGCGGGCAAGCGTAGGTCGCCTGACGACTTGGTGTAAATGAGCCATGACGTTGTCATAAAACTTGATTTGAAGAAAAATAAAAATCTAAGATTTGGTAGTATGGCTAATTAAATGCCTTAGCCTGAGCCGAAAACGCAAAATTTTACAACAGAGTTTTTGTTTTGCATAAAACGACGGAGCCCTTATCCACACAAAATTGACTTGATTTCTAGTACAAAAGGTCTTTGGCATCACAACAACTCGTTTGCAAGCAATCTTGCTTTGTATTTAGGCGAGACAGACTTTTCCGCGAAAAAATATCAGAAAAATAAATAATATAAGGAAAATTTAAATCTAACATCTCGCAGTATGATCATTTAAACGCTTTAGCCTGACTTGAAGGACGATAAATTTTACTATAATTGTGATTTACAAAATGATGTCTAGATATACTACATTTAGGCGAACTAACGATACTCATTTTTATTATTTCCAGGTGGAAGAACTGCGCAAGTTTCAGCTGTACCTAGAACTAAAGTCAAAGTGTCTGGTGGAACGCAAACCTGCACCCAAGATCTCCAAATACACAGTAAGTTTATAAAGAAACTAGGTATTCAGTAAATTATTAAAAATAAAAATAGAAAAGAAACCACTTATTGCAACGCCTCAATATAAAAAAGGCACAAAAAGACTGATATAAATAAAAACAGAAATTATACAAAAAAAAAGCAGCGGAACAACATTTAAACAACAAGTTACATAATACTATACTGACATGTGTGCGGCTGTAGCGTATGCAAAAGAATCCCATCAGCTAAAGCCACAACCAGACTAGGACAAAATAAAGTATCGATTTACTAGCTATTGTAAATCGAGTTCGAAATGAAGACAATAAAACGTAAACACAACGTTTAACAAGCGTTTAACCTAGCGACAAAAGGCGGGATTTTGTAGTTACAGTTTTTCACAAATTAATTTTTTTTAAGTATTATTACGTTTTAAGTTTCTTAATCCTTTGTTGCTTGTTTAGGCTGATGGTTCTATAGCCAATACTCAATCAATAAATAAATAGTTTAACCTAGCTTGTATGCCCTGTCTTTTTTTTTTCAGAAAATGGCATTGGACCAAAATCATATTCCCTGGGAGGTACAGCAGCGGCGCAGCTATCGGCGTCAGTACGGGAGAGGCTGCTTGGCTCGCAGTCATTGCCAAAACCCGGCACTCATGACTTTGCTGCCTTGTTCCACCATCACAGGTAAATTTATACTTAAATCTCTTTTATACTTTGGTACATGTTAACTGTGAAATATTACTTACATTATGTTCTGTCCCTGTATTTTGTTTGTCTGTTGGAACTCAAAATTCTACTCCGTGTCTTTTACATAGCATTTAAAATTGCAATTTTACAATATGAAGGTTCTGTTGTTGTTGGGGTTTGCAATAAGCAATATAAATAGGTGATGTCATAGCAGTGGACTAAACACACTACATTTTACACAATGCTTTTTCCTTAAAAAGGAAAAATCACAAAATAGATCTAACTAAATAAGCAGAATTTGTTCCTTACTCCCCAGTGTTTATTTATTGTACATCATCACTCAACTGATGTGCGCCTACAAATTCATCAATTAGCTCAAGACAATTGCACAGCTGAATGACAATTAAACAATTTAGACAGCAAAACTGTAGCATTCATTAAGTGAGAATGAGATAGATAGAGTTCTGGTTGTTCATTTTTCTCATAAAGCAATTTAAAAGTCTGGAATGTTTAGACAGAGCTGTATCTATTTATGATTTTTTGTAAAATATTAATAATTTTATTTTTTTTATATTTCTGGCACAAAAGTACTAAGTAACTAATCAAGAAATTAATATAAACGTAAACATAGGCATTTGCTTGCATTCCTTGGTATTGGTCACAGATCAAACGTATTCGTCTACTTATTTATTTATCTACAAACATAAAATATTGCGCTCCTAGACTGATATGTTAAATGACATGACATGAATATGCTACAGTATAGCACTTTCTAATACCTATTACAATATTCCTAACCACTTAATCTTTCTAAAGCTCATTCTACACTTACTTAAGAATAAACATTTCCAATATCACAAAAGACAAAGTCCAATTAAACACCCACTTCTGGATCCTTCCCAGAGCGAGCAATTAAAAGTTAGTAAACTCATTCGGTTGTTATGTTTTGTATTGTATTGATGTTCCTTGTCATGAATTGTGTTAAATATTTCTATTTGAAATTGAGTGAAATTATACCATTTGATTGAGGTTGAGCTATTGAATTGGTTGGAGAATGACGCACAGTTATAGGTAAAGATCTATGTACTGAATACAATATTAAGCAAAGGTAATACTAACATTACGACTAGTACCTAGTGGTGGACTCCTACTGGAGAAACGCCTGTCAGCACGGAGTATGTGCTCACTATAATCATCACTAGCTACCTGCAGCTTGTTTATCGGTTGACCTTATTTGTATAATCTTGTAATCTGAAAATCAATATGTCAGCATGTTGGGATCACTGATATGAAATAAAATATATACACATTTCAATCTAATATCCTAAATATTTTGAAACATACCTTTGGAATCGTGGGAATGTATGATTTTTATTCCAGTTGCAACTTGCTTTTGGACAGAGCAGGTGCGTCTTTCAGATGTTTTAACAATATTAAAATTTATTTGAAAATTATTTGTCAATAAATAAAGTTAAACTTCCAAAATGGCAAAAAAG